GTCTTATTGTTCTTTCTGTGTTACTGATATGACTAGGCAATGTATCCAAGGGAACCTGGTTTATCACTTCAGAAGTGGGCTCACACGCAAGTTGCTGTTGGTGCTTGGGTGGCCTGCTACCATGATGAAATTAAAGTTTCTCTCCCTGCTGTTTGGACACCATTGCATCACCTTATATTCACTTTCTTCCATGTTGATCTTCAAATGAAATTAGAAGCTCCAAAACCAGTGAGTTCAATGAGATCCTTTTTTCTTTTCCTTCCATTTGAAATAATACAAAATCATTTGAACCTCGTCTTAGTGGTTGTATACTTGTTGGTTAGTGATTTGGCCTGTTTCGCACTCATCTCATTCTATCTTTTATTGCAATCCTAAGTAGCTCTGTTCTTTTACTTGGCAGGTAGTAATTGGATATGCAGCACTTCCATTATCCACCCATGCACAGTATGCAACTGCCCTTATGTTTGTCATCTTTTTTTTTGTTTCTTTCCTTGATGATTTATTAACTTACATTATTTGTTCTGCTACTGGAGTGATTGGTATGGTAGTTCATGGTATTGGAAATAAACAGGGGGCAGAAATATAATCACCTATTTGGTATTCTAGTGGTTTGTTAAGTTAATGTTATAATTTCATTTGTCAGGTTACTTTCCTGGTTTATGTTGTGGGTACTTGGATGATATCAGTGTGAGTCTTCATTCACCTTACTTGGAAACAATTTTATTTATCCTTGAGCCTTTTTTTCTAAAGCAGTTGCAATTAAGATTTGGTAATGAGACTGATAATTATCTGTACCAGATAATGGCTTTTATTCCCCATCCCTTAAAATTTAATAAAATAAAAATAAAATACCAGCGGCTTTTTGTCATAAAGAAACTGAGAAACCAGATATTATAGCATTTTTCTAGTCTGTATTAGGTCCTAGCCTTCTTTGATTCCAACTAAATGCCATAACAGCATATTTTCTAGTAATTTAGACATGACTTTTTCTCATGCTTTTGTTATCTGCATTATTTCATTTTTTTCCTCGTTACATCATTCAATGATTTCACCCTGTTGAACTACGTTGTGTACTCAGGTTGCGATCAGAAATTTCTCTACCGATTATGAGAGAACTGGTTCCACAGTAAAATGGAAAGGTATTTTTATTTTGACATGTGTTAACCTCTGGTCATAAGAAAGAATTAATTTGTTTGAACCTTTCTACGTTGTAAATTATAAAATGATATTCACACCCTATTATGTGACTAATTCTTTTTTGTTGTGTTTAAGATTCCAATTTTTCAATGGATTGTTATAAATAAAACTAGCCTATCTTCATTATCACATAGATGGTTACATTTAACTGTGTTAGATGATTATTTATTAATCCATATCTTTTAATTGTAGGAGAGGCTGGATTGTTTGGAAGATGGAAAAACTATTTTTAAATTGTGATTAAGGCTTTGCTCATCTTTTTACCCAATTATTGAGCGCATACGGGCTTTTTTTCTTGAATATGATAGACCCACTCTTGGAACAAGTCCTCCATGTGGTTCTGAACTTTTGGAGGTATATTGGCTATGCTTCTTTCTTCAGTCTTTACAGTTGTCTTGGTTAAATCCATTATTAGTATTCATAATCTCTTTAGTTTTGGTGTTTTATAATTTTCAAGTCAACTGAAATTATTCTATGGTTGTGCTTGAATTGATTTAAACATTCCCCAAATCCAGTTTTCTTAATTGGTGATACAGCATGTCAATTTTATAAATGCAAAACACTATGTCATGAATTGGATTGTTTTCCATATGGTTAGTATTTTTCAAACCATAATATATCTCAGTGACTAGATCTTTAGGTAGATTATACAATAAAAGTAGTCTTAGGGTCTGACTTTAGTTAGATTTTTGTCTCTCTCATTTAACTATCTTTGGTATTGAGTAGCAAGAGGGATTTTGGATTTGAATTGTTGGGACTTAGGTTGTTTATGTTTAAGAGGAGAGGAAATTGTATTTTAAACACCCAACCCCTAATCAATCGGCAATAGGTGGAGTAATCCATTGGTTTCCTATAATTCACTGATATGAGATTCTTACACGTGACACACCCTCATAGATCCACCTGTCACATGGTCATAGCACACCAATCCACTGTTAACCTCACCTCCGATTGCACACCAGGGCTTCCAACAACCCTTCCAGGGTTGCAAATTTGTAGCAACTCTTTTGGATTTGTGCAGACAGACTAGGATCACAACGACCTCTCCTAACATCAACTACCCCCCTTGGATTGCTCATACGACTTGGCGCTGGGCTTTGATACCATGTAACTATCTAAATTAAACCAATTGTAATATGTGGAGTACCACATTGTATTTGAAGTCCATAGGTTTCCCTATAATTCACCAATGTAGGATTTTTCCCGTTAACAGGTATTAATTTAAAACAGTGAACTATGCATAATCTCAAATACTGCAGAGTGGAAATTGCTGTAAACATATACATGATGAGAATGTCTTGACTTTAAAAATTAAATGAAATTTAAAGAACATTAATTTTGATTTAATATAATTATGTAGCCTGTATAGGGTCCTGATTGTGTCCAAAATCAAATAGATTGCAGTACTTGATGTTGTTGATGCTTATGCTTCTTTTTGTCCTTGATTTCTTTAGTGTCTGCACTACTCTCTTGCAACCAAGGCAGCATTTGGGATTCAGGTGTCATATTTTAATGGGGAACAAGGTTCTTATGTTAATTAGGTTGTCATTGGATTGGCTTTGAGTTTTCCAGCACTGAAATACTTAGATTCTGAGATTGGTGGTGGCATTCATCGTGCTTCACTCTTTAGTTTTATTAGTAATTGTAAGGATAGGTCCGAGGTGCCCACCTCGGACGTACTAAATAATTCTTCAACAATCGAAGTGAAAAGTAAACCCAGCTGCATAATAGTTACTGTGAACAGGCACGCACCTGATTTCTTATGACAGGCTGTACAATAGTTATGGTATGTACGTTCACACCTGAATATGTCTCAAATTCCCGGTCCCGAGTATCTTGCTTGGCAGGCCAACACGGGTTCTCCATTGGAACATATAAATACCCCTCAAGGGCCACCTCAGAAAGGTAATTGAAACCGATCCTAAGCTCTTTTTATCTCCGCCTTAAAGGTAGCCCCGATTATTGCTGACTTAAGCATCGGAGTGTCTACCCCGAGTTCCACCTCGGGGCTTTGCAGGTACATCCGAAGTGAAGATGCGGACTGAAGAAGGACTTCCGGTTTGGTGCAATTACA